CCTTACTTTTAGCGGCTGCGCGCGTTTCTCTTTTTTGTTCTAAAAGATCAGACGAGGCTTGTCTCTCCAAATGAGACATGATCATGTCTATACAACGCAACGTATCACCCGGAGGATTTAGCCCATATTTCCGGGCTTCTTCCTGAAGCTCACCAATGGCCATATCTTGCAGTCGTTGTCGCTCCATAGCGCATTCAGAATGGCGGCAACACAGCACCACAAAATGGCGGGAGACTGCTCGAGAACGTTCGACCACGCTAAGATGGCGGTAGAACGCCGCACCCAAAATGGCGGGGAAACCGTTCGAGAATGTTCGAGACGTAGCAATTTCTCACTCGCGAAATATGTCTATTTGTAGCGTGGCGGACCAATATCGCTGGTCGCCGATCCACAATATCAATTCTAATGTTTTTAATGTCGTTACAACGGAATGATCTCACTCGAATATCGCAATTACGATAACGGTCGTTGACCCGATATTTTTCACGGGATAACTGGCCGGAACTACCGTATCCGAATGTCGATTACAGCCTTGCACGCTGTATTTATTACTCGTCCGAGCAAAGGAATGAGGACAGAAGGAAAAGGGAAATCAGTAGCAAGCCGAATCGTTTCACGATAATGGCGGCACACGATTAATATCCCACTTCTGAACTGTAAAAGTTATAGTTTAATGCACCGATTTTACCGGCACTGACCGCGAGTTACACGGGGAGATGTCAGGAATGGATGTAGATGGGTGAGAGACAATAATTTGATATAAATATGGAAAAGGTAATTTTATTCCACGGCAAGATGCAACAAGACGCCTACTCAATCCAACGTCTGTGCATCGACTGACTCTTCTTTCTCGCTCACCGCCAATCCAGGCGTTTCTTCATGCGCAGAGCGCTATGGCGCATACCAGTATCTCAAGCGACCAATCACACCTTACGGTCTACTCAAGCACGGCGCAACATTAATCTTACAGCATATTACCTCATCTCCTGTTATATAAGTAAGAAAAAGAGCAATATATTTTTCTGTACAACGAACAAGCAATCGTTATTCCAAAGGAAGAATTAATGAGTAAAATTAAGGCTAGTATACATAGTCGGTTCTTATTTCAAGACAATGGCTTAGGGCCCGGACACACACTTTTTCGTAACAGTAACAGTAGGATTTCGACCAATCGTGTTACTCGATTCGGGAACGTACGGCCGTACGTTTTCGAATCGAGCAACGCGATTGGTCGAAATCCTACTGTTACTGTTACGAAAAAGTGTGTGTGGCCAGCTTTAAGGTTGATAATACGGCTCTGTTATATCTAACAATCGAGTGATTAGTTTATAACATCTCTCTCTCTTAAAATTATACTCCAGCCGGTCTTAAATATAAAAGATCCGACAATGAAATACTACCCTACTACTTTATTAAGTGTTCCATTAAGATCTGCTGTGAGAAATTGATCAATCACAATCGAATGTGAGGAAAATAATTAACTATGATTGATTAATTTCTTAGGACTTAAGGATTACTACACCTATTGTATAGATTAAACCTTAAAAAATTTCGACATTTTTCTTGACCACAAGTTAATAAACCTGTTAAAAAAAAGAAACAGCGTCAATAATATTCGAACAGATGAACCACTTAACACGCGAATTTAGTTCAAATAATTTATGTACAAAATTTGGACGTGAAATAAATTTGTTCTACCTCGCTTTTTTTACTTCGGTAGAACATTCCTAATTTGACCGAATAAGTAACATTTATTTCGCCACCAATAATTCCTAATTTGTAATCTACAGTCGCAATAATCCATAGTAGATTTGGTAGAATATTTCTGAATATTTCTGAATTTCGATATCTTTGGACCATTGAATACTTTTCTAGAAACATTATGTATCCTGTACATATTTTCTCGATAACGAAAAATGTTTAAACGTTTGTAAAAAAATTATCTTCATTCCAGGACACTCGACGAGCTCCGGGCTTTCCCTATCGATGACGACGGTGAATGTCTGCCAAGGATATGCGCCAGAAGATGAACAAGATCTTTTCAACAAAAAACTGAATCGCCCAGCATGCCGAGTATTTTCCGCGAGAAGTAAACTCCCCTTTGTGTCTCATAGCAAGAAATTCTGTGTGAGAAAATCGAGTATCACGTCGGCAAAAGATTCGCGAGTGCAAGCACAAAAAATTGTTGTTAGACATAAATGTATAATGTTGTTTCAACGAATGTTAACTTATTTTTTTATCACGCTAGCTCTGTGAGTGACGTGTAAATTATTTTGTTTAAATATTAACACGGTCTGAGGAGTTTAGAGATGAGAAAATACGAATGTTTTTTCACGTTTTGTAAAATTCGGATGTCCATTGTGTCTGCACTCTCGCAGCGTTTGGAATTTTCTCACTTTCTCATGATCCTCTTTAGGTAAAAGAAAAGAAAAAGAGTAAATTCAAAACGCCACAATTAACAGTAATTAATGTTTAATTTCGAAGTCTGTCACTTATTTACATAGTAATAAACAAACGTCATAGATCATATATTATATCAAATTGTATATCGCATATCCGCATATACATATATTCATTAATTGCCTCACTTTTAACTCTTTCTGGTAAAGTATCTCTTCCAATTAAATTGAAGCTATTCATGCCTTCTTTCTTTATTTTTCGGAACACGAAATAACCTAAATCCTCTTTCGCTGCGATTATTGCAGCCTTTAACACAACAACCTGGCATCTTGATACCTCTTATTTTTCTTCATGTGCGAAGAGGGGGTTTTTTCCAAGTTCCTCGGATGAGGAGGTTAGGTGCCTTATACGCTGCGCGGTAATTGGCACAATATCATTAATCCTTGGTTACTAATCTTTCAGATAATTGACCCAAAAAATAGCTAAACCTGGTAATGATTAAATAATTTTATGAATTAATTGTTTAAGAAAGTTAAAAACAATATACAAATAATCCCACTGCTTCTGCTTGATCAATCGATAAATATCAATCTCTTCACAAAATCCTTCCGCTCTGAGAGCGTTATCCATGGTTATTCTCAAATCGTCATATTTTTGACATCGCAATAGAACGTGGTGTAAATCCTCGCATTCACTACCGCACTCGCATCTCTCGCTGTCAACGTAACCCTTTACTATACCCTTTCCAGTAGAACGCTTGCTTTCGTCATATGATCCGTCCGTGAATAAGATAACCGGGGAGGATCCAAGTTTATGCTTGTCAATAATTTCTTGAAACAAGTCACAGTCCGGATATCTATTGTGCTTTCTGGATTCACCAATGGATATATCAACGGTGGGTACGAATGTATGGGCACCAAACGATCCGTTGAAGATCTCAAATTTTCTCTGTGGGCCAATTCCCGCTCTAAGTAACGTAGCTTTTTTCCACATCTCAGAGAGGAGCGAGAACCTATACATAGGCTGGCGAAATCGGACGTAATGTTCGCGGTTCATTGTACGCTATAATTTCTGACAGAGGTCATTTTGATTATAGGCAATCAGTTTATTAATAAAATTCCTACCAAGCATTTCCGCCCAATCCTTGAGACCCCTGACCTTAGCCTCAGCAATAATTACGTCGTTCGGAGTACTATTTCTAAAGCCGAGGGCCGTTCGGATACCCAAATATTGGGCCCTTTCCAACTTAAGCTGGAACGCAGAGTCTCTAGGAAAGTAGATAAAGCTTCCATAATCCGTCATTGATCTAACGAGGCTTTTGTAGAGCATGAGGGCGGTGTTGACCTCCATGCCCTTGGACATCTTACATAGATATCTAATAATAGAGTTGGCCTTACTGACCTTACCTCTAACCTCCTGTACCTGTCGGTGAAATTTCAGGCTGTTGTCTAGCCATATACCAAGAAATTTCGCCTCACCACTATTACAGACGTCGCAGTCCCCGATACGGATGCTCAGGTTCTTGTCGAGGTAGCCGCTTTTGCAGAACTCTACCAATACTTAGGTTTTAATTCTTAAGTTCCAAGTCGATACGTCTAAGTCGCTCAGCAATGGTATTGACCGCTCGTTGTAGAAGAAGACGATTACGTTCACGGTTCGGGCCACTAACATATAGGCCGATATCATCGGCGAACTCCACGGCCTCGACACCCTCCGGCAAGTCAGAACACAACCCCTGAGTAAAGAGAGAATACAATGCCGGACTCAAGACGGCGTCCTGCGGGAGACCCTTAAAGACTAAACGATCTACGAATTCGCGTGAATTGACGATAAATCGCACCTTTCTCCGGTATAGCCAATTAGCAATAAATTTGACTATGCCAGTGGGACAATCAAGCGCAATCAATTTGTCGAGCATGATGCGGTAATCGACACAGTCGTAGGCCGATGACACGTCGAGGAAAGCCGCAAGCGTATATTCACCCACACACAGGGATGCTCTAATATCCGACACAATTTTAGCAAGGTTGTCCGCAAACGATTTGCCTCTCCTGAAGCCGCTCTGAGAAGAGCTGAATTTTTTTTCCCTTTCCGCCCACCAGATCAGCCTCTCGTTTATCATACGCTCCATGAGCTTGCCGATGCACGAGGATAGGGAGATGGGACGAACCTTCCCCCTACCTACCTTATCAATAAAAATCACCTGGTAGTCCAGCCAATCCGAGGGAAGAACACCCGTTGACCATACGGTATTAAACAACTCAAGTAGGCAAGCCCTAGCTTCCAGACTCCAACAGCATTCTGACCATCTTGTACTCCATACCGTCGAGGCCTGGCGCCGAATCTCTTCTGATCATATCGATTGCTCTATCGAGTTCGGAACGCGAGAATGGAGCCTCCAACCCATAGTCCGCGTAACTCTCACCAAACTCCACAACCGGTTCCACCCCCACAATGGGGGAGGGGGGACAAGGTTATCAATGGTGCTCCTAATTTTGTCCTCCCTACACTTTGTCGTCCACTTGTTCCACTCGATGTTCTTACTCGCGTTCTTCAAAATACGCATTGTATTGTAATATACGTTTGTATACACAAACATAACTAAGGCTAGTAAATCTATTGATGCTGCCACAAAACTTCTCAAAGTTTTCTTTTTTCTTCTTGTTTATAGTGCGTTTGGCGAGTGCTTTCAATCTCTTGTACTCGATCCAGGCATGCAAACTCTTGCTCTTCCTGAATTCGGCAAAGGCCGACTTTCTCTGACGAACGGCCTCGTCACACTCGACGTCCCACCACCTATGTGACCTCTTACGTTTGGCCGGATCTTCGGGACAAGAAGGCTTAGGAGCGTCCTCGCGTCTACCCGAAGCAATGGCAATAGATTTTTTGAGAATGTTTATAAAGTGACTATAATAAAATTCGAAATCTTGTTTAAAAGAGTCAATGTTAGGAAGAAGAGCAGAGATAATTTCGTCCTCCACCAAGTCACGGAAGCGCGACCAGTCCGTTCTCTTAGAAGATAACCTATTAGAGATCTTCCTATAAATTTGCGTAGAGTTGTCAAAAGCGAATGAGATAGGAAAATGATCGCTATCCCACGTGTCCTCCATTTGACGATAGTCAATCCTATTTAAGATGCCCTCCGTACCGAACATAAGGTCTAAATTAGAATCGCGCTGGCCGCGGAAGCCATTTCGAGATCTAGTGTCAGAGTTGACGTAATAAAAATCTTCATCCGACATGAGATCGAGTAGCACGTCTCCGCTGTCATCAGTGGAATGGCAATTCCATACAACATTCTTGGCATTGAAGTCGCCCAGAATGATAGTGTCATGAGCGCTATCAGAAACAGCCTGAAAAATAGACTGGAAGTCACGACGAGATATGCGTCCACGCGGATGTCTGTATAAGGTAACAACATTAAGGTTTCTGAGTAGATTTTTGGTCCTAATACCAATAACGTCGTAGCCGGGCGGTAGGCCTGTGACCGGCAAGATGTCGAACTCCAAGTGGGCGCGGACCGAGATCGAGACGCCACCACTCCCGAGCAGATTCCTGCTATTCACCGTCCTGAAGCCTGGGAAATACACGCCTCCCGGTCTCTGGTAGAGCATCTTGTCTCTGTAAGAACAATTATATCATACTCAAGCACACGCTTAGAGAGCTCATTCTTGCTGCTTTGATATCCTTGACAGTTTCACAGTAAGAGTTGGAATTTTTTTACTGAGAAAAAGCGAAGGTTCTCCTAATTCTAGTTCTATCATGTCCTCCTCCATTCGAAGCACGCTCATACCAACCCTGCCGAAAATGTTCGATTAAAACCGATTAAAAAGAAAGTAATTCGAATCGATCGGGATTTTTGCACCGAAAATACGGTATTAAAACCGATTGAAAATAGTCAAATCGAATTTAGTACGCTTCAGGCGGATTTTATATTGTTACGCCCGTGCTGTCCTCGTGTCGCGCGTATATGCGAGTCGCCCGTTATTTAATGTCGCGTCGCGAACCGTCCTTAGCGACGGATGCTGTTTACTAATATTGATTGCGAGATGCTCAATTAACTATTGATTTTCCTGTTATACTTGATGTTCAGATTTACTCTGGGACGCGTCTCGTTCGGACGTATCGTCCCGAGCTCCTCTATTATATCGAGAGACGTAATAAAGAGCTACTGATTTCTAAACGAGTCATCTTATTTGTGCGAGAGTGACGTGACACGCGCCGCGAGTGTGAAAGTGAGAAATTGTGTGACGAACGCTCGTCGGCGTGTAACAATATACATTCATTTAAATCCGAAATTATACGATTTCATAAAGCTATAATTAAATCGATTTTAATGCGATGTGAATCTATCGGAGGATGACAAAAGTAATCCGTTGCAATCCGAAATTCTATTTTACGAACATTTAAATCGGTTTTAATGCGATGTGAATCTGTCGGAGGATAACAATAAAAGTAATCCGTTGCTATTCGAAATTTCACGATTTTGCGGATTACATCGCGATAGACAATTAAATCTGTTTTAATGCAATTGAATTAGCTAGAATTTACCATAGTCAATCCATAGGCAAAAATAATTTCTTTTAATAAAAAATGTTATCATTTCGCAGATAAAAAGTAAATCGATTTTATGTAGTGTGAGTAGGATTTGCTGTTATCATGAGTCACAATAAAGCTATTTAAAATCAAATCTTTATTTTTTTCTCAACTGCATAATACTTACAAAAGAAATACAATTTAAGCGTTAACCTTCAAGTGGTTATTGTTTATTTAGGTATTAACTCCTAATATGAGTGTATTGTTTGCAGTTTTTAATCAATTTTCAAACTTTTAAGCAATACAAACAATTAAAATTGAAAATAAAATCTTCAAAATAAACAAATAAGTACATTAACTTCGCCAGCAATATTAACCAAATTGAGAATAAGATGGAATTTTAATCGACGTAACTGGCAATCTCAAGATATACGCGTTTAAGATTTGAAATTTATTATGAACTAATAAATTTTTTAAATTGATTAAAATTCCATCTTATTCTCAATTTTTTTAAAATAAACATAAAATTTTCGCTATCAAAACATTAATATATTTAAAAGAACAAACTTTTCTGACTATTATGATGAATACAATTCGGGTGAGTAATCGTAAAAACGAGAATCTTGGTTATCCTCAACAACATTTACGTCTTTCAAGAGTAATATATATAAATTAAAACAATGTATGAATGGTCCAAACGGAATTGACCAGCAAATGTCGAAAAAGTCCTTGGAGATATTGCACTTTCTAACGGATAATGTAGATTACTGTGATGATTCTGCCGTGTCTGACTACTGCAGAAAGAGTGACCCCAAAATCAGTGGTTTTTTCGCCTATTTTTGGTCCCGCGATATTGGAACTGAATTGTGTATCAAATGATACCTTATGACAAGACATCAATCACAAAAAATTTTTAAGTTGAGGTGAGAATTGATTCCAGAGATATGGGAGGTCAAAGTAGTCAAAATTCATTAACTCGTCAGCCCGCACGCTTTAAGGGGATGCTGGAGCCGTCTGTATAACCGACAAAATTACCATTTTTTATGTTATCGACTATATCTGTCCTTGTATAGACAAAGATATAGACAAGGATAGCACGCTACATTGCACGCACACATACGCACGATGCACATCGACATTATACTTTTATATATACGCTTTTATATACGCTTCCAAATCTTGATTTGGAGGGTTTATCGATGTTTTTCTTGTTGTGCAATTCGGGGGAACTTGTTTTCGCGTTCGTACCAATGGTATATCTCTTATATGAAATACATCTTGTGACGAGCTGACAGCTCGCCGCAACTCGGGACGCCATATTGGGATAAAAGTAGGATAAGGAAATCTGTACTTCCGTAATTTTTTCTCGTTTTCTATATAAAATCAGAGTTCCCCCGAATTATTAATGTATGTACTGCAATTCTGGAGAAGGATTTTTAATTCTGTCAAATTAATACGACGCTACGTGTCGACAAAAAATGCCGGTAAAACAGACGGCTTTAGCATCCCCTTAAAGCACGAATTTTTCTTTCAGTCCGATAATTTAAAACTTCGTACCCGGGGATTTTGCTAGCTGCTGACAATGAATTTGAAGTCAGATTTTTAAAATTCCTAATGGCCGATTTAATATGGCGGATTATATATTTAAAAAATGTTTTAATTTCTTTTTCTTGTTAAGTAAATCAATCCATATAAGTATGTGTAAAAAATCTGACTTTAAATTCATTGTTAGAAGCTAGCAAAACCCCCGGGTACGAAGTTTTAAATTATCGGACTGAAAGAAAAATTCGTGCTTTAAAGCGTACGGGCTGACGAGTTAATAAATTTTGACTACTTTGACCTCCCATATCTCTGGAATCAATTCTCACCTCAACTTAAAAATTTTTTGTGATTGATGTCTTGTCATAAGGTATCATTTGACACACAATTCAGTTCCAATATCGCGGGACCAAAAATAGGCGATTTTTGGGGTCACTCTTTATTTCAATATAAACATTTATCAAAATTCGATACATCTGATGACAACAATGTCATTCTTATTGGCAAATGCTATAGCGTAAAATGCGATGATAAAATGTATAAAGCATATAAAAAATGCATCGTTAGAGGCGTTGTATTTCACAGCCAGAAGTATCAGAGTTCCCCCGAATTATTAATGTATGTACTGCAGTTCTTATCGCAAAGCGAAAAGAACGAACGATACAATAATTCAGTTACATTCAGGCGAATATGGTCAAATAATGCACATTATTCTATTAAATAATAAATGCCACATGCAAATATAAAAAATTACGAATAGTTCCAATAAACCGTTTAAAGTGTCGTACATGGATAGGATAGAATCAGAAGATTATGTACATAGCTCAATAGTTCCCATAAGCGATGTCAAAAGCAAGCTTATTCACATATAGATGTTGGATATTGTACATATTTATGCAAACCTCCGAATACATTTGAAATTCAATAATAAATAAAACTTTGTAATAAATACAATTTTGTTTCTTTATTTATATATACACAGTCAAATATAATTATAACAAAAATTTGATTTAATTGCATTATATCCGATTTCCTTTTCATCTGAAAAATCGGAGAATTTCAAATTGAAACGAATTACTGTTGCTTTATCACAAACTATATAAATTTGATTCTTATTGCATTCAAATCAATTTAGTTTTTATCCCCGAAATTGGTAAATTTCGGATTAAACCGGATTACAAAATCAACTCAATTATTAAAATTGGATATTATTATAACGGATTGAAATTGCATACGCGCAATCGCTGAATTTCGAATTAAAACTGATTAATGTTGTCTTTCCTAGCAAATCGGATTCAGATGGATTACAACCGATTTTATTGAATCGGTGTTTTTGTAATTGAAACGGACTCATCTCTTGAAAAGAAATATACAAATTAGGCGGATTATTTTGGATTATATATCCATCCAATTATTAGTGTTTATTTTGGATTGACAACAATATGGATTAGAATGTAATGATTTCGAATTGGAAATAATCTGCAAAAGCGATATCAAAACCCATTCTGATTAGTTTGGAATTAAAATCGATTACTTTTTAATCCGGGCGCGGATTGAACCGATTAAAACCGATTAAAACCGATTAAAACGGATTATGTTTTAATCGGTTTTAATCGAACATTTTCGGCAGGGAAGGCTTAAATCGTACAGTATCCTGGAGAATAAACTTACTCCTCGAGTCATAGTCATTATAGCTCACCATCAGGGCTTCAATCAGTAATTCTCTTGCTTCAGGAATTCTCTGCAACAATTGCATAACGCTGTCAATCGCCTCCCTAACCGAGAGGTCCTCTTGGGAGCGAAAAGAGTCTCCCCGCGCTTTGTCCGTATCCTCCCGGACAACACTCGACCATGCTGTGCCATTGCGGGACGCAGAGAAGAAAATGCTTTTCTTATTCCTCGAGATGTCTCCCTCACAAACATCAAATTGTTTATAATAATCGCGTGTACCATTGAAAGGCGGAACACGCGTGTCCTTGATCTTGTGACCTTCTGTCTATGCCTCCAAAGGCGCTCCGTCGACCATCCTCGCGCCGGACCCGCGCCCCCGGTTCTCGCGGGGGATCACCATCCTCACACACCGCCTCAGAGCACGATCTGTTCCCAGAAGAAGACTGCAAACTTGGCCAGACACCTGTCGTGCGCCCTTGAAAGGATCCGCACCTCGCCCTCAATAATCCCCCGAGCACTGTGAAATGACACATTTTTGTAAACCATCACAACATTAATATTTTTATTTTTTTCATAGGCAGGACAACCTCTAAACGTAGACTTATGTTGTCCACCCCAATTATAGCACTTTAAGGGTTTGTCACATTGACCGTGAGCTTTGTCCCCGCAAACTATACATCGTGTTTCGTTTTTGCATGTATTTTTCGTGTGGCCAAATCGGAAGCAATTAAAGCATTGCTTTGCTTGGGGTACATAAAGTCTAACTCTAAGTCCGACTTCATTAGTAAAGATTTTTAGGTCTTTAACTTTACTTTCTTTGAATGTAACGATTATGTTATCGGTTGCAAGCAAGGAAGATTTCTTAGTG